CCCTGCCTTCAAGACCTGGGATTCGACAGCTGGCCCATTAATCCCAGTGACTGAAAAGCAGGGTGGAATACTGGTCCTTGGGACAGCAAGTCTAGATGATCCTGAAGTGCCCATTGCGAATCTGTTAGAAGTCCGACTATGTCTGTATACCATGGTTTACTGGACCAGTTAGGAGCAATGAGGTTCACCACAATGCCCTCTGATATTGCCAAGGAGGCGAGGCAAAGGTTTTAGAGACGGGAAAAGGGTAGATCAGGTTGAACTGATCCCATGAGGCCTCCAATTTATTCAGGGCAAGGGCACAAACCTGTCCAGCCAGTTGTTGAACTTAGACACCAGTAGCTCCATGTCTGGCATCCCCCACTTGAGACAAAGTGTCAAAACACCTCTGTGATCTAGACCTTGGCAACTGAAGAAGTCTGCCTGGCAATTTTCCATGCCTGGAATGTGGACAGAGGACAGGGCCGGCATGTAAAGTTCCACCCAAGTCAGGATCAAGTTTGCTTCTCTTTGAGCTGTGCGACTTCTGGTGCCTTTCTAATGGCTAAAGTAAATCACGGCTGTGGTATTGCCAGTCTAAATCTTGGTTGGGTGGCTCTGTAACTGAAAAAAAACTCAGGCACGCTGGGAGTGGGAAGGATTATACAGGGCTGTCCTAACAGCTTTCATTTGCCAGTGTCCACCCATTCATTAAATATTTAACGTCCTGTGTCCTCTGATGTATATGTTAGTGAAATAAAATGCTTACAAATGCTCTTTTAATAACATTCAGCAGAACCATGCTCTCAGATTGTGAAAAATTGCCAGCAATCAAAGCAGCAAACAGTATCCAACAAATTTCTCGAACACATTTTCACCAATGTATCTATATGTAAAAATTGTCATTAAGTATGCTGCAATATTCTCTGTATTACAGTGGCACAGAAAAAAGGGTCATAAAGCTCACCACAGGGAACAGGCCTGTCTCCCAGGCAGTGGCGACTCTAGGAACAATATATAGGGGGGGGCACATAAGATACCACAGTCAAAACTGGGGGGGCACTAATAATTTTCACCACTAAATCATACCACTGAAAAAAACCTAATAAAGTATATATAAATAAGATTACAAATATGAGAGTAATGCGGTATGCAATGATTATATATATTACAATAAAAAGGTATGGGTATGTAGACAGATTGGTAATCAGTCAGAAAAAAAAAAACAGCATAGGAATGCATAGCTAGATTCCTATTGGCTATTTCACTTTGCAATAGCCAATAGCAAACTAGCTATTGCACCCACTCACTGCTGCTGTCAATCAGCAGAGGGGGCCCTGAAGTTTTACATCAGGTCATCTTCTAGTGATTGACAGCAGCAGAATATAAAAAAAAAAAAAAAACCCTCCAGATAGCAAAGAAGATATTGCTTCCTGTGCTATCTGCCATCATTTCAGGGCGGTGCTCTCCTCATCCCTGAATTGAGAAGGGCACCTCGCTGAAATTGCTTTCTTCAGGTTGGGATCCTTGTGATGGCGGTGTTCTATCAAAGTTTGTGACTACGTTAGAATGTGTCACCGGTGACGTGGGTTTTAATGTAATCCCGCCTAGTTTTTTGGCAGTGGAATGTGTGACCGCCAATAGGGGAAGCATTCCAACGCTTTCTCAGCTGTTCCAGGGCAGAACGCAATGGCAGTCACACATTCCACCGGCAAAAAAATGGGCTGGATTACGTTAAAATGTGCGACAAGTCACATATTCTAACGTAGTCACAAACTTTGATAGAACAGAAGCCCTGTATGTAATCATTTAATCAGAGAAATAGATTATAATAGGGAACAATACAGTGTAACATTCCCCATTATAATCCACATATCTAATTGAATGAAACAACAGTACATTAGCACATAACCCTTGCAAGGTATACTTGTCCAGGACTACACCATTAGTAGGTTTAAGCACAATTAAGCACAAAGTCACAATATGACATCAAAGTTCCAAGCTCATGTCTCTTGGTGGTCTTTACTACATGACTAATTGGGTCCCTGACAATACAAGTAACAAAGGTGTTAATACGAAGCTGGTTTACATAAGAATACCGCATACCTGACCTATGTAGTTATGTGTTCGTTTAATAAATGTCAAGCAAAGAAGTTAGGGGATCTGATATGCAATATTATTCTGTTTCAGATATCGTATAATGAATAGTAAAAGTAATAGCATGTTAACCAACATTATAGGAATACTTGTCAGATAAAAATGCTCATAAATGTATGCTAATTTTTGGTTTATATGGTTACACACTGTCCCAGTGGAAAGTAAGCAGATGCTTGGTTAAAAAGCAATAAGGACATAGGAGATTGGAATTGATTTTTTATAAAAAAAGGTGGCCCAGGTGGTCGTCACTTGTTTTCAGGCCACTCACGTTCTGCCTTTCCTCAAGATGTCACATTGCCGCCCATCAACTCTCCCCAGTGATGCAGCTAGAGGGGTCACCAAGGTCAAAAGTATAATGGGCTCCAGGTGAAAAGGGGTTCTGGGTTGTGACCTTTTGTGAATCCATCTGCTGCCAGCGACTGTAAAAGGTGCCAGCTTATGCTGTTAGCATCTTTGTAATGACTATGTAAGCATAGGCCAGAGACCTGGATGTTCCAGTAAATATGGGTTCATTGAACCATCATGAAAAAGAAAGTGATAAATGTGGCCTGTGGGAATGAAATCCCTTATATACATCAAAAGGGATCTCTGCAATATCTGGGAACGATGTAAGTGTAATGATAGTGACCTATATGCAATAATGGTGAACACAGGTCCAATAACAAGTAGACTTCTCTGGGGAATAGAGAGCTCTGTAAATGATTGGGGTAACTTCCCCTGGCCATACACGGTTAGAATTTCCTTTGACCGCTCATTTGAAATAGTTCATGAGAGCACTCGTTTTTGCCATCGAGTCAACTAATTTAGTTTGAAAGCATTTAAAAAATGCTGTCCACACTGCTACTTGAATGTACTCCCAGACATATTAATCAGGTTTATTTGGTGCCTGGCACATGCGCATTACAACATGTACAATTTATCATGAACAAAATTCACATTCCCGGTTAAAATGTTGTTAGCGCTCCTTTGATTTTCCTTATCATTGCGGTTAAAAACAAATGTTGATTAGATCCCCAGTAACTTTTGTACAGGTGTATGGCTAGCTTAATTCATGAATAACTACAAAGTAAACATTTGTCTGGATCTTTACACAAAGCACAGCAGGAGAAGAGTAAAAAGTATAGATGAGAACGTGGTTCTTAATAACCACATTTACCATTGAGCCCATAGTCTTGTAACTATTGCTGAATTTCATCCTAGTCATTTTAGCTGCAAACAATATTCCATCAGGCAGAAAAAAAATTAACGCAAAAGTTCAGACAAAACTTTTCTTGGCAACGGTGACAATGATACTGGCTACCTAGCAAATTTGTTAAAAATAGGGATGTTTAAAAATGCACTCCAGAGTGGATAAACAGAAAGCCATGCAGCAAAGACCTAAATGTATTTGGTGTGGGAGGTGAAGGGAAATCTCTTAAATGGGAACATTAGGCTCTTTCCCATTTGTAAAAAGGCCACTATATGGCTTGAATGTGTATTTCCACTTTTGCAGCCACATTGGGTTAACACCTTATATTTGTTACATGTTCCCATTCACATAGCATAACTTAAAAAAATATTTAACATTTGCTTACATTTTAAGTGCGTTTTGCTTGCTTAAAAATCCTACCTAGCTTCCCCCTATGTAATGTTAGAGGGGTGGTGTGGAATTAATGTTAACCATAATTAACTTCGTCTGTACTGTGCTGTCATTTTCCTTATCAGTTGTAATTTAGATTTGAACACAGCCTGTCCCAACACGGGATTAAAATGAGACTAAATTTACATGTTAAATCTTAAAAATGCATTCAGGTACCTTAACTATTAACAAACCTGTATTCTATCTGTGTATCACTCAACTGTAGAGCCTCAAATCATCTCTGAATTCATGCGGACACTGTCCTTCCTTCTGGAGGGTGACTACTGTTCCCCATGGTCCCTGTGTGTGTTGTAAAGTAGCCATCACTCCCAATCTTGTTCCCGTGAAGGACTACAATCTCATGTTTAGTTTACTAATTTGTATAGAGATTGTAGTCCATCATGGGAGTGAGCTTGGAGTGGTGGCTACTTTACAACACACACAGGGACCATGGGGAACAAAAGTAGCCACCCTCCAGAAGGAAGGACAGTGTCAGCACCAATTCAGAGATGATTTGAGGATCTACAGCCAAGTGATACACAAATAAGCTACATTTTTGTTAATAGTAAAGGTACTTAAATGCATTTTTAAGATTTTACTCCTGAGTTTAGTATCACTTTCAAGATCTAGAAGCATTGTATGTTAATGAGTACCCAGTGTGCCCCTAGTCTTTCTATGGGGACAGACTTCCTTTCAAATTGTTCAGAATAGCTTGCCGTTTGCACTAAAGCCTGCTACAATGTAACATCTAAAAAGGTTAGGATATATAGATATTTTTTTTAGATATGCTGTATGAATGGGAACATGTAAAAACATATAGTAAGGTTTTCTCAAATTTAACTGCAAAAGTGGAAATACACTTTAAAGTTAGATTAATAAGAAAGAATAGGAGGGACAGCAATTGCTGACCTAAAATGCTACTAACCTTTCCTGGTATTTATACTATCTGAACAAGTATGCAGATCTGGAAAGTGAGAAGTGCTCTCTGCATACTTGTTTAGGGTTAGCAACCCAAAGAACTGAAACTGAAGACTGTCGACAAAACAGCCATGCAATAAGCATTTTCAGAAAGAGAGCAACAATGGCAGTCTCCCCGTTTATCAAAAGATAGTTTTCCTTTCAAATGAAGAGCTATATACAAGAAAAACTGCAACAGGGAATTGGCTGGCCCTACAAATAGTGCCTGGTGAATTTATGTACTGTATGCAATAGGACACACTGAAAATGGCAAACAAAATTAGATTACCTTTACAAAACGGCAGAGCCTCAATGCATCATTCCACTTAGCTGCAGCAGAGTAGTCATGAAGGATTGCAGCATATGAAGAAGTGTTAGTGTGGACAAGGGAGCCATCACTTTTCCGGATTGTCACTCTGTTTCCAACAAAACTGATCATCTGGGGACTTTTACTATAGTCACTGGGGAAAAAAATAAACAATTGGGTAATATTTACTATATTTTAATCTATGATGTAAAAGCAGCTTTTCTTTTAGACATGACAATTTACTGATGACAATGTACCACAGTGAAATTCTGTGGTCAAATCTTTAATATGGCAAAGAACAAAGCGCAGCAACCAATATGAAAACATCTTTCATTCTGCTGGCTGCTTTAAACTGATTAAAAAGTATCATATGATTAGCCCCAAAGCATTACAATAAGGGATGCACCGATACCGGTTTTTCGATATCGTGTACCGATATTTTTTTTCGATACTCACCAATACCGAATACAGATACTGGAAGTCCCATTAAGGAAGCCAGGGGGCGTGTAATGACTTGCTGCCCAGCTTCCTGATTAGCCGGGAAGCGTGTAATGACTCGCCGCCTGGCTTCCCGATTAGCCAGGAAGCTGTCTCCATGCTCCCTCATCACTAGGTGACGAGGAAGCATGAAGTGGGCTTTCTGGCCAATTAGGAAGCCAGGGGTGGGTAATGACTCTCTACCTGGCTTCCTGATTGGCCAGCTTCTTGACCAATCAGGAAGCTGGGCAGAGAATCGTTACACAGCAGCCGGCTTCCTGATTGGCCAGGAAGCTGGCTCCATGCTCCCTCATCACCAAGTGACGAGGGAACAAGGAGTCGGCTTCCCGGCCAATCAAGAAGCCGTGGGGGAAAGTCATTACCCACCCCCCGGCTTCCTCATTGGCCCGGGAAGTCAGCTCCATGCTCCCTGGTGACGAGGGAGCATGGAGACGGCTTCCCGGCCAATCAAGATGCCGGGCGCCATGTAACGGTTCACTGCCCGGCTTCCTGATACCAGACGTTCCAGTATTGGGATAGGCTAGTACTCGTCCATATACTCGGTATCTGACTATTATCGGTATCAGTGCATCCCTAGTTACAATGAGTCATTGCACTATGCACTGACTTGGGGCATTGTATACCTGCTTTGAAACAGAAGTTCACTGTTTTCCCTCATACTAATTATCCCTCTTGCCTGCTCTTTTATTAGTCACTTGTTATCTGTTTTCCTAAATGCAGCTGTCTGTCAAATGAGAAAAGAGAACATAAAGCAGAACTGGGAGGTACCACAATGTTAAGTGTAGTTATGTGCTCTGCACCTTATGCAAATAAGAGCATAACAAGAACTAAGAGGGAAGTGTGGAAAGACAATGATCTCTGAGCTGTGCAGCCGGCAAAGGTCAAGCTAAGAGGTCACAGAGAAGAAGCCTTGCTACTTATAACTTGTTTTACTAAATGCAGCTGTCCATCAAATGAGAAAAGAGAACACGGCAGAAGTGGGAGAAGCCACATTGTTAAGTGTAATGATGTTCTCTGACCATTATGCAGATAAAACAATTATGACAACTAAGAGGTAGGTGTGGAAAGCCTATGATCTCTGAGCTCAACATCCAGCAACGATCAAGCTAAGAGGTCATAGAGAAGAGGCTTTTCTGCTGTGCCTGCATAGCAGTGGGGAAACCCTATGAGAAGGCCAAAAGACAGATTGTTTATTTCTGCCTTACAGTATACTTTTCAAGTTCCTGACCCAGCAAATTATACAGATCAAGAGTACTTACTTTACTTGCTGCATGTACTGGGTCAATAAAGTTTTAAAGCCAGACAACTGAAGTTTTGAAGGGCAGCAATGACAGATCCCTTGATTGTCTCCACACAGGATTCCTTTAACCCATAACCTCAAAAGCAAACATGTTGGGCATGTAACTCTCCATAAGCCCAGGTGCCACAAGGGACTCATAGTTACCTCTATTAATTATCTACTACTCTTCTTTGTGCCCAGGTAGCCACTGCTTTTAGGAGAACCCTGTACTGAGGCCTTGACTTGTCCTGCAAGCTAAAGAAAGAGAGAGCCATTGCTGGCTTTTACACTGCTCTGGTTGGCTGTAGAATGGCAGGAGGTGTGTCAAAGCAAAAATGCTGCCTTCATGTGGGGTCTGAAATATGGAAAATACACGTTTTTTTTTTAGGACATATGAGAAAAAGTATTTTCAACGTGAACAGCCTCACAAGTGGCATTTACAACTCAGACAATTTAAGTTGCAAAACGCATCCTGAATTATCCAACTTGTAATGGCACAAAGGCTTTTACCCTCAGTCCCTCCCTCTTAAAGCATAGGCATTAGTTCTTCCCACAGAAAATAGCCTTAATGGAATGAGGTGGGACCTTCTGACATCGCATACAGAAAATCCAACACCAAATGCAACTCTGAGTTTACTGCGCTGTTGTTATCAGGAGTCTCTGAAGCTACACAAGGGAGAATTAGATGATTAGTAAACTGCTAACACTGCCTGCATAGAAAACTCTTCATTTAAAATAACATGTGCGAGTTTGAATCCTAGCACTTTTCCTAGCCTAACCAACTTCTAGCCCACTGACAACGCAATAGCTTAACAAATGTAGGATCTAAACTCTTTGATTTGTTTGCTTCCCTACAATCTGAGCTGTTTAGTTAAAACACAATCACAGGGCAATCAGTATGCACAGGAGCATAACAAGATGCACTCAAGGACAAAAGGGACTGTATTTACAATTTATACAACATGGGAGATTTACAAACCCCAGAGAAAGAGAAAAAAGACATTATGACCATGACAACCATTCATATTATAACCTACATTAGAAACATTTCTAGGGATAGTGGGCAGTGCTACCACTTTGTTCAGTTTTGGTATCTAGAGCAGCTCTTACCGACAGGTACTCTTAGTGTGCTGAGATACCTCTGCTGTGACCTTACAACACATCATTCTGGTGAACTGTGTGAGGACAACACCTGCCTTTGCTCACAGGAGGCTTTGACAGATGCTGAAGCAAACTGAATACAGCATGTCTGATTTAACTTTAGCTTTAAACAAAGCCAACCAGTGAGTGGGCAGATGTGATTCTCACAAGGTTCAAAAGAACAAGTAAAATGCCCAGCATAGATAACCTAACAAAACAAATGCCCAAGATCCTTAAAGGACCTCTGCTGGCCATCGTTAGGGTGTTGCTATTCATGAAAGTTAATCCATTATCATTACTAACTACAACTCCAGTAATAGCACAGGAATATTTACAGGACTTTATTTGCTGTATCTCATTTTATTCACACAACATGCTACTGGCAAGATTTTCCTTGTCATTCCAAATACAGAAGTGGACTGAATACAGTTCTAAAAAAAAACCCAGCGTGCTGACTCTAGCAGCACTCCACACCCCTAGTCATTATAAAAGGACAGTGAGCACAAAGAAAGAGAAAAGAATAAAGTGAAAAATAATTCAAAGAATGAAACCCCGGGCTAAATGACATATGAATACAGTAGATCACATCTGCACAGCGTGTGGTAAAAATGTAAATGCGTCAGTGGGCTGCAGAACTGAAGAGCAAGCACACGTCAGTGTATAGCCAGCAGGTGGTGCAGTCCTCCATATGCTTAATGAATCAGCTTCTTTTGATTTGCATGTTGAGTGAGGTCTGTTCTGGTCATTACCTTCCACACAATGAACATGACTTTTCAGAACTTGTGTGTTGTGTCCAATTTGTCTGCTTTTACTGTGAATTAAGAAGCAGGTTTTAATTAGATCTTATTTGCCGACGGACAGCTGACTGCAGGGAAATCCTGTTTTTGTGTGCATTTAGGCAATTTGTCCCTCCCCTTTTCTAGCACCTTTTTCTGTTCATACATTGATTGAGCAGCTTGCCCTTTTTTCTCTTTCTTTCTTTTTGTGCTATAATTTAAGGATGCACCCATGGGAGGCCTGCAGCTGCTTTAGAGCTGGTCTGGGTTTTTCAAGGGCTGTAGTAGCCTAGGACAGCTGGGGTGACCTTTGGGTAAGTTTTGCTCTCAGTTCATGTGTATATTTGTATATATGATCTACTGTTGGTAATCTCGCTGCTTAGTGCTAGGATCAACGTAGCAGAAGCTTCTTGATAGTGGCAGGTGGCGTCCACATATACTTGCAAATGTATGCACAGGAGACTCCTGCTTCTATTATAGAACAAGCAGGTTTTAATTAGATAAGTTTGCTGGTTTGCAGCTGGGTGCTGAGGGGATTTCTTCCAGGTCTACTCTAACCAGAAAAGGCCATAGTAGGCGAGGACCTAGCCTCGAATGCTAGCTTCAGTCTTGATGGAATAAATGAATGTACAAAGTTCAGAGATCAAGTAAAACTCTTTATTGCCATTAAAGGATATCTCTGAACTCTTTATTGTCATTAAAGGATATCACCTGACCCCCAACGTTTCTGTACTGATAGATGCATAACACAGTACACTCTGCTACTAGAATTAAAAAAATAATAAAATGGCTTTTTTAAAGTAATATTACATTCTCAAACTTGTTTTCAGTAATGAACCCAGATCAGACAAATATACGTACATTGACCAACAAAGTATTCTTTTTCTCTAAGCACTTACAGCCATCACATTTCTGAACAGCTGGATCTAGCTCTCTCAGCTCAGCTTTCCTGAACTTCCTCTCCAATACAAGATCACAAGGGACAGAACAGTCTCCAGCAGATGTCCATCTACTAGCTTGGAGAAGGGAGGAAGCAGGAAAGAGTGTGAGCAGGGGAGTGGCTAGTCATGCCATGTTGGGGAGGCACACAACTTACTAACACACACATGGCTCTATAGGGCCCTGCAAGTGAAAGGAACCACCCTGAAACAGGATATCAGGACCCTTGCTCAGGAGACAGGCTGATTCTGCAGGAAACGAACACTTATCAAGGAGCAGAAGCCAAGGTAAGTGATTTAATTCACATTTGAATTGGTTAAAATCCTTTTGCCTTTAATGTCAGTTTAAAGAGACTGCTGAATTGAGCTTCACAAATATATGCATTTAGTCACATAGGCAAAGGAAGAGGTATTGCACCCCATCGTTTACTCTTTAGTCAACTTCAGTACTCTTTTGGACTTCAGTATGACTGCAAATTGTACCAAGATACTCATACCTATCCTCTTTACTGCTACAAGCAAACTATGGCAGGATGCTGTTCCTTCTTTAAAGGAGAACTATGCGGGAGTGAATTACACTCATCCCCATAGTTAGAGCCGACATGTGACATTGAAACTGTCATACGTCGGCTCTATTGATTGAGAAGTGAGCGAAAACATAATGCTGCTCGCTCACTTCCCGATCATCTCTGCAGAGAGCAGCGACTGTTAGTCACCGCCCCTCGCAGGTATTCCCCCTCCAATCCTCCAGCGCTTACTGGAGGGATGGACGGGGAGGGCATAGCCTCTAGATTGACAGCGGGCTCTGCCTATCAGCCAGCAGGGTGGATCTCAACATTATTATCGGGATTCATCCAGGTTGCGGCGCTCTCAGCATATAGTGGGCAATAGCCCGCTATATACTGAGTTTTGGGTCACTGGGAGGACGTCAGTATATGTCCTCCCATGACCCTAAAGAGACCTATTGGGGGGAAAAAAAATTACCCCATAGTTCTCCTTTTAATGCCCTTACAATTTTTAAAAGTTATGAGTTGGGGTCTTTCCACTTATCTTCCTGACCAAAAACAATCATCATTGGAAATATTAAAACTCCCCTCCCAACTCCTCAAGCATGCTGTTTAAAGTCTAGTTGACGTTAAGCACCTTTTTCTTCCTATTGTCCAGTTTTGGAGACACTTCTATTCATTCATTTACAGCGATAATGTTATTCGAAAAACCTGATTTGATGCCTGAAACAGCAGAACTGTGAGTGTCTTCTCTCTTTTTCCAACATAGGTTGATCCACTTGATTACCGTCATATGCATATAGCGATTCTAATATTCAATCATTTTTTGAAGAAAGACTACTGGTGGGATATATTCATTTACCTATTCATCCACTTTGTCCTACTTGTGGACTTCTAACAGCTTCTAAAAAAGTTATACCGATCAAGATATCCCAATATATCATATATACGCAAATCGGGTGCCATCCAGCTTTTTTGCATTTTTATATGTGTGTATTTGTATTTTTGTATTTTGCCCTTCTATATTTATGTAATGTAGTTATTTTTCATATTGAACAAAATAACCTTTTAAATTTAAATGAGATAAATAAACATATACATTTTAATTACATTATTGTATATTTGAATTGATGGTGGAATCTCCTTATTTGGGGACCTGGCTACATTTAATGATTTATATAGGAGACTCACCATTCTTGAACACTATCCATACGATGTGATCCTATATTTAGTGTCCGTATATAAACACTAAACACAAGTGTCCTCATGCACACTTTTTTTGCAGTGAAAGACGTGCTCAGCTAAGTCGCAACGGACACTTGTGCCTACTGAAAGGGGCATTCACATTTAGACACCTTGATGGGCAATTTATAAAAACTGTAGAATGCAGAATCAGGAGCAGTTGCCCATACTAACCAATCAGCTTCTCTGTTTCATTTGCAAAGCTTAATTAAACAAATTGAAAAGGGAAGCTAATTGGTTGCTATATTGTAGTGGGTACAGTGTTCCCTACATGTTGGTGCTATATGAAATCAATAAAAATCAGAAGGTTTACCCCACATTAATGAATAATATTTTTTATATTGATTAATAAAAAGATGGGAAATAAACAAAGCATGTTTTTTCACCTGAGGTTCCGGAGGACCCTAGGGTTCCACCTCAATTCACCATTGCGGCATATTTATATCCACTGAACGTGGGCTTAATGCCCTGTTCGTGTATCCAGATGAGTACTGCCCAGTGGGTTGATATCAGCCCGGGTGCACTGCTAAAATTCTGGCTCCTGATGTCATATAACAGGGACCCAAGAAGAGAGGAGCGTTAAAAACACGGTTAGCAGCACAGAATGAAAGGACAAGTCCTGTTTACTAAGCAAGTACCAGTACTCAGTGAGGCACCTCAACACGTCAAGTAAGCTTTGTGAAAAGAATAAAAAGCCCCAAATGCAAAACGGTGCATAAATTATGATTATTCATTGAAGTAATTCTGTATCTGTTTTTTTTCCTGAGCTCTGTCAATGTGTCACGATTCCACAGGCCTGGCATCATAATTTACACTTTATTTTCATTAACTTGTTACATAGTTACATAGTATTTGAGGTTGAATAAAGACATTAGTCCATCAAGTATGTTATCTGTTCTGTTTCCTGTCCAGTAACATTCTTACTCTGGTTTCAGTTGGCTATATCAATAGACATTCCTAAATTTTAGACAATTCTATTCATATAACCAACTTGACTTTACTGGACAGACCTTTTTTTCAGGAAACAGTACAGATAACAAGTTAAAGTGCGTCTAAAGCCAAAACTCTTTTTTGTTTTTCATAGAGTAGAGAATGGTTAAAATCTGCTAAGAGGGAAATCCCCTTAGACAGCTGTTATAGGAACAAGTGTCCCCACTAGAAAATTTTCCTTATATTCCTGTTTTGGTGACAACTTGGTATATTGAATTTACCCTAAATCAGCCTTTCTCAACCAGAGTGCCATGGCACCCTGGGGTGCCTCGAACGTTTTGCACACCATCATGCTTTTCCATGGTGAAAGCAGGCTTCTGGTGTGAAGGGGGCTCCTGATGTAAAAAGGGAGGATTCTGAAAGGAAAAGGGGGGCTCCTGATGTAAAGGTGGGGCACTGATGTGAGGGGGGAGCTCACAGTGTAAGTGGGGGGACTCTGATGTGAAAGTAGGGGGCCCCTGCTGTGTAGGGGTATCCTAATGTAAAGGCGGCCTTCTGATTTGTGGAGACTCTGATGTAAAAGGAGGAACCCCACTTTTTTGTGGGGAACCCCTTAAAATTCATACCATACCCCTATCCATCATAAGGGTCTGGTATGGATTTTGGAGGGTTTTTACATTTTAGACTGAGATGCCTCAAGCTCCCAGCAGGGGTACAGACAGCAATACAAACCTGACAGCAATTCTAACCCTTCCACACTCAAAAAGTAAAAACCTTTGGGGTTTAGATACACTTTACTGAAAAAATAGTGTCAATTATGATACCAGGCCTGTGTAATAATACATTAAGAAAAAAAAATATTTGTGGTTAAATCTACAACTCACTGACCACACTAATGTCCTGCTGCAAGTCAGAAAATTATTTCAGGGGTTCCCCGAGATCTCAAAACTTTTTCAGGGGTTCTTGCATGGTAACAAGGTTGAGAAAAGCTGCATTAAAAAATATATGGTGTACCTTTTTTTTTAGTTATAGATAGAGCAAGGAAGTGTTAGGCTGTCAATTTTTTATTGTGGTCTTTCGTTCTTACTAAGGACAGTTACTCTCTCTATTTGTCCTGGTGACTATTGTTGCAGAGAAAGAAAGTGATGGGAAATCTAAGCATTTTGAGGTGCCTTCAGGGCAATAGGTAATGGAAATCCTCCAATGGAGGCACGTGTTCCTATGATAACACTCTGTAATGAAAATTCTGTTCACTTTGGTTAGATTTCATGTTTTATCATCAGCATAGGAAGTTAAAGGAATCTTTCCGCCTGGACAGAGACACCAATACATAACTTGATTGGGTTTTTTAACCTGTCCCTACTCTAACAAGAACTAAAAAAAAAAAGTGGCTTTTAACTTTTTGGATGACCACAGTGTCAGGGTCAACCATAAAGTGACACTAAAATCAGTAGTTAGATCTTAAAAATGCATTCAAGTTCCTTAAATATTAACAAAAATGTATCTTATTTGTGTATCACTCGGCTGTGGATCCTCAAATCATCTCTGAATTGGTGCTGACACTGTCCTTCCTTCTGGAGGGTGGTTACTTTTGTTCCCCATGGTCCCTGTGTGTGTTGTAAAGTAGCCACCGCTGCAAGCTCACTTCCATGATGGACTACAATCTCATGTTTAGTTGACTAATTTCTATTGAAATTATAGGCTATCACGGGAGCAAGCTTGGAACGGTGGCTACTTCACAGCACATACAGGGACTATGGGGAACAAAAGTAGCCACCCTCCAGAAGTATGGACATTGTCAACACAAATTCTGAGATGATTTGAGGATCTACAGGTAAGTGATACACAAATAAGATACATTGTTGTTAATAGTTAGGGTAATTGAATGTATTTCTAAGATTTAACTCCTGAGTTTAGTGTCACATTCATTGGCTTCTGGTCATTACCATAGGAGCACAGAACTGATTGTCCTGGTTAAACAATGTATTAGATGCCAACATATTGGAAGGCAATCATATGCCACACTTTCATTAGAAATTATTGACAGCTAGATGTTTTCTTTAATACCAGAAGGTAAGAGAAAATGAAAATGGCTTCATCATAATGTTTTCATTAAATCTAACCTACTCACCTTCCATCTTTTTCGCTCACTGTTTTTGGCAACAGTTCTTTATCTACAAATGCTACGTTTGGATAATACCAGACTGTGAAACGATTATCCTGAATTCCACACAGTATGTTAGATACATCATTCCAGGCTAAAGTATGTACCATGCTACCTACAAAGAAAGAGAATAGAACAAGAAAAGACAGAAAAGTGATTAAATGTGATTTAGTCAGTAAAAAGATCAGTGCAAAATAGGACATTAGAATGAATGTCATTACACAAAGTGAGTTAGTCTAACATACCAATCTTGATAGATTTCTGTTCTTTTCCAAACTTCCTAACTGGACTTATATAAAGGTCATGGTTTTTATCAATAAATACAATTTTTCTCTCATTTGCCAGTCCTCCTTGATCAAGAGCAATTTCCATTACTTCAATCTAAAATAAATAAACAGAAAATAAATTATTTCATTTGTGCACATGCATATCTATAAATAGGCAGCTTGGGGTAGGCTACATAAGTCAAGCAGAAACTACTGATCAATCAACACAAACATATGACCCTTGTCATACATGTGACAATCTGTGCAATGTGTACCATCTGTGTACAAATGCTCTAACCTTTAGCAAAACGATGTAATGTGGGAGCCTAATCAAACAGTTCATTCCATTTGTATCCAATCAGGAAGTCCCTTCTACTCTTTTTGGTAGCTCTAAATGAGATTTGACAACTACATTCTAATGTGTATGGACAGCTTGACACATATATCTATGTTTATTAATGAGATTTGTCCATAGTGTTGCAGGGCCACGCAGGGTCCCCTTCCTCAGGTGTCTGGTTGCTTTTTCCTGATGTCCAGTATTGGACATTACATTTTTTGAAAATGCCTTCTGGCGGGAATATGACGTCACTATGACTTCAGGAGGGTGGGGAACCCATGGCACAGCATGCTTTCTATTGGATTTTGCACTTGGGGTTAGGGTATTTAGGATGAAGGTTATATGGATCCTGTTGCCATACTAAAACCAGATGAAGGGGACTCTGCGTGGCCCTGAAACCTTGTTTTGTGACAGTCTGTATCAATAAAGAAGATGGATTATTGACACAAGACATAGGTGTGCTGGTAACATTTATCATATATTTGAAGATGCATGGCGCCATCTGTGGTTACTACAGCACCCTCCTTTATACATAGGGGTTCCAGTAAGAAGTGCAGCAGTTCCTCCAGAGATTGTCTATAGTGTTGGCACAAGCTGCCAGGACCCTTACTCTCTTTGGGCATACCTGCAACAAAAGCATTTATGTTGCACAGTAAATAGTCTAATCTCCAGCTAGTGTGTTGATTTATTTGGCAAACTGTGGCATGCCTTGACAGGATTTGTAGTCAAGAAGTGGGGTTCCCTTGGGGCCTGAATACTTACCCACTAGGGATGATTTAACTGCCCAAAAAGACTCACCCTCTATCATGACATCATCTAGTGTGGAATGACCTCTTCAAAACGAGAAGATATGGCAGCAATAGACAAGCAGGCTTTCACTGACAATTTATGGACTAGATGATTTATATTCGTTGGGATGAGGAATATACAGAGACGTGTAGTAGCTTCCGAAAGCCTCAGCTTTTTACTGAAGAAGTACAAAGTACAACTAAAGGCTCCTGTATGAAAATCCGGGTACTATATAATGCACAAGCCTCAAAGTATGGAAAACACTGCCTTCACTTTCCCCTGAGTATGTCAAATCGTCCTTCCTGTTTTACATGACACCCCCCCACCCCCATCCCACCACCACCCCTCCAAAGACACTGCAGCTCACAGAAAGCAGTGGGCAGGACAAGGTGGCCAGGTGCTGATTGACAACTTACAGACTTGTGAATCAGCAGTGACAATTCTGATAGCCATGCCCCCTGTAACATCCTCCCATCCCACTGTAGTGCAAGCAAGCACAGCCTGCATAAAAGTTGCAACACTGCTCTGAATTCAGGAGCAGTGCAGCATTGTTGTCAGACTATCACAGGAAGCTGCATTAGGTCTTCACCAGCAGGATCAGCAGGTATTTCTATGACATTTTAGAGGGACTAGGAAAACGGAGTGCAAATGTACTGTACCTATAAAAAAGTGCTGCAGCACATATTTTTTAATGGGAAGCCAAAGTGCTACTTTAAGTGATATAGACTAAGTTGTCAGTGCCTTGCATAAAAGAGCCATATAAAACGGCATTAAACGTTCCAGTATTTAATAATGCTTCTGTTCAGAAAAAAAAAATCCAGCTAATACAATCAAGGATATAAGTACCCCCTTCTTTAGAGCCCTTCCAGCCTGGTTTGGGTCCACTTGGTGGCAAAAACAATTTGTATTGTATTCTGACCATCAGCAGTAATAAATATTGGATCTTAAATATTAGGTCACATGACCCTTATACAAGGCATTCATTGCCCACTACACAATGAAGTTATGCTCTTGATAAACCACAACCTGACTGGATTCCCCAGGAGTTAAGCAGCCTAGGACAAATCAATGAGCAATACACCACCCCACCTTGGGGTCAAACCACCCAACATGACCCAAATAAATAGATTGTCCAGTGCCACTTTACATACCTCAAGTCGGGCATATACGCTTCTATTTTCTTCATTCAACCTGGCGGCTGAACAAAGAAAATAGAACAGAATCAGCTTATAAGTGTTGATCGAGGAATCTCCTGCCGTTTCCTTTGTATGCTGACAGCAGCCGCTAGCCGCCATCAGAATACCCGAACAGAGCTGCCAGCTCATTGGTTGCTAGCTCTGTTCAGCCAACAATTTTCCGATCTGCTCCTTTGGTCAGCCGATTGTGGGATGTCGGTCTAAAAAGTGCCGACAGCGGCACCTCAAGAAACAGCCGAAATTCAAAGTGTGTATACCCGGCTTTAGTCTGACATGTAAATATATTAAGCACTAATAAGACCTTCACAGCTACTTATCAGATTCAAACCGGCCTTGGAAGGTTAAATCTGACTTATTATTCATGGAGCAGGGAGAGAGGAAGTTTGAGATACAGGAAGCAGGTCCATCCAATCTACATGCTAGGAGCTCTTTGAATAGTGGATTACACAGCATTCAGAATAATTTTACTTCTGCCTGGAATTGCACTTTAAATAAACACATTTTACTAAAAAAAAAAAAAGAAGAAGAAATGATACTAAAGTGAATTCCCATTTAGCATTATTCGGGAATAAACTGAGACACAGTATATGCTGGGTACTGTAAATATACACATATCCTTAATCAGCACTGATATTTTGTGTTAGGGTGAAAGAAAAATATGACTTTGAGATCATTATGCCCTCTTTGTGACATTGCAACATACTTCATGGCTCTGTCTCATTATGTCCCACAGAAAACTCCGCTCCATACAGATAAGGCTGAAAGAAGGCATGTGGCAGCATCATATTGCTTACTATCCAAGGAATTTAATTCACAACTGTGTGTGGTCCAGCTGGAAAAAATCCATGCCGAGACAAAGCGCTCGTTATACAGTAGTTAACCTCTACTTCTGCAAATAGTGTCTTATTTTACTTTCCTTTTTTTCTCCTCTTTCCCAGATACAGTGCATCCAAAAGGACAGTACAGTAAACAAAAACATACATGTAAATCTCCAATACAGCAAAAAGGGCTATTTTACCTTATGAGCAAGCGGCTTGCCATCCCCTAGGGGCTTCCCCGATAATGCATCAAACAAGTAGATTACTGAGAAATAAAAATAAACACAATGTCACACGTGTGTTAGAGAATACTGAAATACACTTATAAATAAATGAGCTTTTGTCCATGTTGTCCAAAACGTAAAATGTACTGTTGACACTAAAAACAAAATTATTATTATAAAAAGTTGAAAAACTTATTAGAAAAAAAGTTGAACCCCGGGCATTTGTAAAATTATAAAAACAACTCCCCACCCCCAATGTATACAGAATTTAATGCTTGCTTTGCACATCGGGTCGGCCTGCCCTCCTATAAAGACATATTGGAACAAGATATTTGAACTCTACAACCATATACTGTATAGATTGTTCATATTATTCCTACTCCAAAATAGCTCTTTTATACATTCTTCCCAAGTCTATTTTTAGACAAACAATTTTTTTGTCAGTGGCTAGGCAGCTTATACGTTTTTGTTTTTTTTTAAACCGATGTCACCCCATAAACGAAATTGTGGGTGGATACCATCAATGAGATTATGAGGATGATAACAACCACAACCAGAGAAAGGCATTCACAACTCTGTAGATATGGATGAACTTTTCCAAGTCCCACATCGTAGCTTTCAAACTGCAATGAGATCGCTCTATATGAAGGAACTAAGTTTGATGCATCTTCCAGACTGTTCTCTCTTATAGTGAAATCAGGTTGCACCAAGTTAGAGGTTCCGCCCCCACCCCTCATTCCGACTACTGTACTATATTTTAGCGTCTCATAATTCTATTTCTACTTTTATTATTATACAGGATTTATATAGCGCCAACAGTTTGCGCAGCGCTTTACAATATAAGGAGCACATTACAATGCAATTCAAGACAAGATGGTAAAGTGGGCCCTGCGATTGAGGGCTTACCTTTAGTTTTTCTACCTCAATACACCTGTGGATTTAGAAATGGTGCAACTTCGACTCTAATTTCGTCCATTAATAAATCCACAAGCAGTTCTGTTATTAGGTGACATTGATGCATTACTGCACACCCAGAGACTGTATTCCTTTTTCACATGTTTTTGTACTGTGCTCTTCTTACATTGACACTAATTGTTTATTAATTGACTATTCTAATGAATGATTGTCAACCTTTCCTTTCCTTAAAACTTAATAAAAACAAGATTCTACCTTAATGCTTGTTTTGTCTAGGGAATGATACAATAGAGTAACCTTAGTCCAGGGTCTTACGGCAGCTAGCGCTCCAGTCCTCTACTCTCCGGCACTGGAATATGGGCAAGCACTCTGTCATTACGTACAATGCAGGACCAATGGTGGACGCTGGTCTTGCAATGTACCTGATAATGTCAGACCAAGGGCGGTGCCAAGACAACTTGGAGGCCAGCAAGAAAAATAGCTTTCAGGGACTGGTTGTCACAGCTGGAATTGGTGGGGAAAAGACTGCAAGATCAGTAACTTAGGTAAGTAACTCTTTGCGCTAGAAAATCTTCTAGAAAAAAATAAGCAATAAATCCTTTATCAGCTGGGGAAAGGAGGAGGCATTTTAATAATTCAGTAAATGCCCAAAGTAACATTTTAAATAAAAACTACACATCAGTTTCATTGCGATGAGGTAAGCAAAATATTTTTTTCCCCCTAAAATACAATGTAAAAGGTATTTTACGTATACATTTCACTACTACAAAAAAAAAACAGCAATTTATATAGAAATCACAATATTCTGCCATAAATATTCTGCCCCCTGCCACCCCACAACAAAGTGAGTGGGCCGCAATGCGATAAAGTGCACTCCGCCAAGATTCGGACTGGGACGCACTGTGGCTGGTGTGAACTAGCCCTTAATGTTTGCAAGTGGGACAACCAACTGAGCTGTACTTTAAGGATATGGGGCAAATATTTACAGTTAACTTACCTGAACAGAATAAATTTACAGGAGTTCTGCCATTGCTAACTTGCTTTTAAAGTTGCAGGCTCAATATTGTCATCATTATCCAAATTTTACTAACTAGTTAGCCAAAAGACATGAAAAAAGCATGCAGGCACCAAAGTCTGAACTCCCATTCTGCTTGTACATTCTTGGTCCTCAACTCACTAGATAGTGAAGTGTAGATAAAGATGACAGCCCCTAAAGCCTGCAAGCCTAAAAACAAAATGGTAGCTCCCATATTTCTATCATCACACGTTCACAGTAAATACAGTTTGTCTTTAGATATTAAGCTTAAGAAGATTTTTCTGCACAGATAGATCTAGATCTGGGTATTGTCCATTAAAAGACAAATAAAACTTACATTTTTCATCTGTTTTGTCCTTTATAGCAATTGTGTCATTGCTCAAAGACACCGTCTGTGAATTGAGAATATCTGTCCTAATTGCAGGAATCTTGGGGGTTGAGATGAGACGGCCTTCATAGGAGTATAAATACAGATTACCACCATCCACTAGGAGGAAATGCCTGCAAGAAATCAAGTAAGGAAGTGACCAAAAAGCAGGTACACAGTCAACAAACTGTACTTATTCAAAATACGCTTCAGCAAACAAAGCTGTGATTTTGTGCTGACAGTCCACTGACTCAATGATGTATTACCAGCTGCAAATTTTAGCTTCTTTCCAGAGTAGACACAAATGAAGTCTGTTTGTGCGCTTACATTGATGTTGAATTGTGATCAATTCAATTTTTTACATGCAGGTAGAGAGCTGGATTAAATTAACATTAAAATGTGACAGGCCTGTAGCAGCGCCTTTTCTTTTTTAACACCGTACTTTGCAGCCTTTAACAAGGCATTTAATCCGACCCTCTAATACACTCTAGAGCAAGGAGGAGAAATGTAGAATGGAATGCCATTCATTTGTTACTAAACACAGAGCATATGGCTTATTGGAAAGGGGTGCCATAACATAGGGTTTCTCATTTAAATTAGCCACGTGCATGGAAAAGTATTTGACACTTGCTAGGCTTATTTAACCACTTAATTGGCAAAAGATGGCGAAACATTCTAAGGCATCAAATATTGGCGTAAAAGGCTTGGGGAAATTTGTGCAACACCACATTAATTACCAAAAGGTGTCTTGTCTCTTGTGGAAATATGCAAAGCCACTAAAAAAAAAAAAAAAGGCAATAGCATCTTATTTTTTATTGCTCATGAACACCCCCCGCTTGGGATTTACTGAAACACTTTACGATTTAGGAGTAGTCTAAAAACACCAAATACTAAGATAAATGCTAATTGCTGTATATGTCCACATATTTGATTTAAGGTTGACCAATTCATGTGGTTTAGCATTAAAGGGCAGCTCCAATAAGCACCTTATGACAGCACATGGTGTAATGCAATGGCGGGTCAACTTACTTGATATAGAGGGCCTAAAGTACAGCCCTAGACAACAACATAGGGGGCCACACAAAGTTTAGTGTATGTAATACTACAGAAAGCAGCCAGACACTTGAAATACTACAGTAGATAGCTAGAGACTGGAAACAGACTACACGTGTGGTTGTAGACTGGGGACATGCTGTAGGAGGCAGTCAGAGATTGGGCACACAATAAAAAAAGACTGCTAGGGATCACTACTTTTACAGTCCCCTTACAAGTCAGCACCCCCCCTAAACCCTTTAAAAAATGACGGGCACCATATTCATTATAAAAAGGTCAAATTAAAGCAAAAGAAAAAAAACTGAGAAAAAAGAATGGACCGCGCCGAAAAAGTAAAAATGTATGAAAGAAATAACCCAAATCATTTAGCTAGTAGAAACCATTTTAATTAATATTTTCCTTCACTATGCAAGAGTAATCACGCAGGCAAGCTAAACACTGACTAATGGCTGCTGGGGCCTTTGGCCGCAAAGTAAGTACCAAAGGACCACATGCAAGTTGGGCACCAGGGGTTTAATCTGTAAATCAAGATTCTTCACTCATCCCAAAAACTTTTTCTTAGAGTTAATTAAAGCACACAGGCTAAGAAGGATTCTGAAATGTAGGGGTTATATTGCTGCATTCAGGAGAAATGGACAATGGGAAATAAAGTCTGTTACTGAGCCAAGAAATAATGCTTCAGTTTGTGTAAAAGCAGTAGAAAGAGTGGGCCCTGTGTTCCTAAAGACCTTAATAAGTCCTGTTTCCTTAATCATTCATTAAAGGACACAGAGTCGGAAGGATTTCTGGGAAGTATGGAACATCCAAAAGCAGTCCAACTGAGGAACGGGCAACGTAGCAAAGAAAACCCTAACAGGCCCACAAAAAACATTAGGTAAGCTGTGGGCTAGCTGCAGCTAAAAGAGTCAGGACCTTACATCTGAGGCTGGCATCAGATAAGGCCCGAACATCCAACTGGTAAAACTTGGAGAAAGTGTGGATAAAAGACCATGTGGCTGCCTTGGCTATGTGGCATGCTTGATTCTGAAAATCCCAAGACATGGTCACTGATCTTGTAGAATGCACCTTAACAGGAAAAGGTGGAACCTTATCCTTAAATCAATGAAATGATTAGCTGCCTAATCCACCTAAAAATTGTGGAATGAGGCAGACTGTCCCTGACGGGGACCCTCTGGAATAAAGAAGAGTGAGTGAGTCAGTCAGTCTTAATGTCCTATTCAGCCAGAATGTTGAGTTGAAACCATCTGGAGTCAGCTCCAACACTGATTTCTGGAGGTTCAGGATTCAACTGAACCTCTGAAGTATCTGAACAGTCCATTGGACATTGACCGATAGGGCCTGAGCTGACTTCTTTCAGTAGGAGGTCATTTAGATATACCACAATGGGAATGACTTGAAAAAGCAGGAGGACAAGCACAGGGGCAAGCACCTTGGACAATGATCGAGATGCAGTGGACAGGCCAAAAGGTACAGCAACAAACTGGTAGTATTGTGTGCCCACGGCAAAATGCAGGTAGTGTTGAGGTGCTGGAAAGATGTGGACATGCAAGTAAACCTCCCTGATATCCATGATGGCCAGAAAGTCTTCCAGAAGGAGGAAAGCGATGATTGACCTGATGGATTCCATGCAGAATGTTTGCACCTGAGTGGCTTTAGATCCAGAATGGCCCAAATTCGCTCTTTTGGTTTGGTTTGGGGACAGCAAACAGGTTTGAGTAGAAGCCTTAAAATCATTCTGTTTCTGGAACAAGATTAAAGATTCCTTGTGACCGGCATTGCATCAGAGCAGCATGGAGATCTGTTTGGAGTTTCAGAATGTCAGCAAATTTGACAACATGAAGCGGGTTGGGGCAGAGATTGTAACTCTAGCTTCTAGCTCCTGGACACCATGTCCTTTAACCATGCACCTGAGATACTGTCAGTCAGGGTTGTCGCACGGCCAAAAGCTGTCCCCCACTTTTTAGAAGTGGGGACATCCCCTCATTGAAAGGATGAGTGGCTCACAGGCTTGGAAGATTTAGGAGTCCAGGACTTGCAATGGAGTCCTGAACTTGGGCTTAGAGGGCTGAGAGTAATGAAAGGAACTCTTTTCAGCTTCAGAAGTTGGAAGCTGAAAAGACAGCAAAGCTAAACTCAGCTGAAGTTTTTCTTCCAATAAAAGGCAAAGCCCCTGAGATTTATTGCACGGTTTGAAACAGTGACCAGCCGCAAACATTTCTAATCGGATCTTATTTTAAAGGTTTTTTTAGCCTGTACAACACATAATAAAAATACACCAGAACAAGACAGCAGTGAACAAAAGAAAAACAAGGGAAATAAGCCAACAGAAGGAAAGAGAGATGTCAACGCGTTAAGTCCACAATCAGCCATATACAAGTATACAACAGCATTAAAGTGCAGTGATACAAGGGTTAGTAACAGTCTTACATAGGTAAAGAACACATCATATCCAACCATTTAGACCACATGGAATCAAATTGGGTCATAATATTACGCAGATAGTAGGTATGTTTCTCGAAGGCTATCATGTTAACGAGTTTTGGATTTCCAGTACTCAACCGTGGGAGGGTAAGGAGACTGTCACTTTACTGCAATCAATCTATGGGTCATAACATGTTGTGATAGCAAGGTGAGAATCGAGATCCACTTACCAATATAGCCGAAAATGCAGGTTATGGTAATATGCATCAATATTAAGTGCTATACCATAAAGAGCATTTAAGGTAGAAATAACATCCCTCCAGTACCGCTGTAACTTGGGACAGCGCCACAGTAGGTGGATGACAGATACAGTAATTAATACTGAATACTGGTAAGTGCCAATGTAGGGGTCAGCTGCTCAGTTCAGACAGTCTTCACTCCTCAAGTGGGCATATTCCAAGGCAACAGGGTGCCACAAGTGGGTGAATCACAGCCCTGGACATATAAAGCGTCCTACAGTTAACTAACAGAGTACACCAAGTGTCTGGAGCATGCTACAAGAAGGACCCAGTGCCCAAAGGTCACATTGCAGACCAGTTCTGCATCTTTATTATGGTGGGGCCTGAGAATGGCCTCCAAGGCAGCGCCAAGGATCAACCAATCCAGAAAACTGCAAAATTACCTCTCTTGGCTCTGTGGTTAATGCAGAATCTTGAGAAGACATCCATTCTCTTATGGACACTAGCAAAAAAACTGAAGCATAATAGGAGTAATAGGGGTTATATCCTGAACGGCAAATAAAGGTTGTTAGTCAGTAAGCATACAACGCCTATTACCAATTCTCCTGTATGCAGCAATATAACCCTTATGTCTCAAAATCCTATAATATTGACTTTTATTTCTTGTTTTGCGCTTAGTTCTGAGCCACTGTTAGGATGCGTCTGACAGGTTACACTACAATGCCCCATACTTCTACAGAACAAGTGTATATGTTGGGAGACAGAGGCATAAGTCAGAGTCCCAATCTGGCACAGACTGGTATATTCAAGCAATGGACTCAAGCAACTGCATCTCAGAGATGAGTGGAAATTATACTCTGTAGATACTTCTTTTTGCTCCATCAATCTTACATTCATGGAAGCAGTTTTTAGATGTACATACACTGTGCATTAATGTTTCCAGAAGGTAGCTAGTTCGCACATACGTGTTACATGTAGAAGATACAAAAAAATGGTACAATAAGTTTCCAAAAGTGTAGCTAGATTCTGTTCGCTGTACTGTATTATTTGCAAATGAATTGCTATGTACAGGCTACAAATAGGTTTATATTTGTTTTGTTATACAATTATTAAAACATATAAAATGACTACAGCACCACTTAGATCAGCATCAGCATTTAAAATTACTACGATAAATATTTCAAACCTTTCACACTGCAAGATCAAGCTGACAGTTCCTTCTTTGAGGTCAAATATCAATGGTGTATTCCAGTTCTTTGTGCTATGGAAGAAAATAAAATATCTTGTATTGGTTGCTAAATAACAGATAAATGGACATGTTACATAAATGGATAGGGGAGGACCCTAATTGCTGATTTTTAAAAGGATTTTGAATCCGTCTCCTCCTACAGCTTTACTGTTTTATCAGGATTCCACATTTGTTCGAAGTTTGTAATAGCTCTTTAAGCCAGACATGGTATAAGCCTGGTAAATATGGAGAAGATGGTGGAGCACACCTAGTGGTGTCCTCAAAATGTTATCCTTGAAAATATGTCTGTGAAGGTTCTCATGGCAAAGCTAATAGTTAGTCACATTCAGCTGGACTTGTTCTGTAATGTTGGACATTTCACTATTTACCAAGCATGAATATCAGGAACATGCTCTAGCATTTATAGTCACACAAGTAACTTAAAACGTATCTAAACCTAAAAATGGTAATGCTTTGCAGCCTACAGCCCTTACACAAGATGCCTGTTTGATGCCTGCCTTATTTTTCTATATTTAGGCTTTTTTCCTTTATTGTTACCTGGTAATCCTGTAAATAGCATGCTTCCTGTCCCTGGGTGGCTACGCTCACTACTCCACTGTATCTATGGAGGGAGCCATGTGTGCCGCCTAGGCTGAACTTCACACATGTCTGCCTTTGTTCATCTCTATACAATGGAGGGGGGGGGTGAAATTAGTTTTACGCAAAAAAGATAACATTGTTTTTTTTTTCAGTTCATCTCACAGGAAGTGACACCGTATTTCTAGCAAGATCAACATGTGCTTTAGAAACATAAATTGTACTCTTCTTGGTTCAGGACTCCAAAGCAAGGGGAGCACAATTAAAATACAATAAATAACGGAGGTACCGATACTAGTATAGGTGCCGATACTGAGTATATTTGGGAGAGTACTCAGCAAGCCGGGCAGCAAGTCATTACACACCACCTGGCTTCCTGATTGGCCGGGAAGCCGGCTCCATGCATGGAGCCAGCTTTCCAGCCAATCAGGAAGCCAGGTGGTGGGCCTTTACCTACCCCCAGCTTCCTGATTGGCCAGAAAGCCAGCTCCATGCTTCCTCGTCACCTAGTGATGAGGGAGCATGGAGAGGCATCCTGGCTAATAGGGAAGCTGGGCAGCAAGTCATTACACGCCGCCCGGCTTCCTTAATGGGACTTCCGGTATCGGTGCATCCCTTATTGTAACGCTTGGCGGCTAATCATATGATACCTTTTAATCCGTTTAACCAGTTGACATCCACGGTTTTAAACCCCCTTCCCATCCAGGCCATTTTTCAGTATTCAGCGCTATGGTACTTTGACTGACGTTTATTCCGTCATGCAGCGCTGTACTGAAATTAATTTTATACCCTTTTTTGGGGACAGATAGAGCTTTCTTTTGGTGGTATTTATTCACCACTGGGGTTTTTATTTTTTTACTATATTAAGGAAAAAATGCTGCACTTTGTTCTTTGCCATATTAAAGATTTGCCACGGAATTTCACTGTGGTATATTGTCATCAGTAATTTGTCATGTCTAAAAGAAATGGTGCTTTTACATCATAGATTAAAATATAGTAAATATGGAGTTGGCTTCCTGGCTAATCAGAAAGCTGGGCGGTGAGTCATTATACGCCACCCAGCTAATCAGGGAGCCAGGCGGCGAGTCATTACACGCTGCCCGGATTCCTTAATGGGACTTCCGGTATTGGCGAGTACCACCGATAAAAAATAAAAAAAAATAGGGACTCTTACTTGATACCGAAAAAACAGTATCGGTGCATTGCTAAAATAAATAAAAGCTGGGAAAAGAGCCCAGTCATGTGACTTGTCAAAGTTGTAAAATGCTGGCTGCGATGTGGAGTAATTTTTGTGCTATATAGCGAACACCAGGTAGTAGTATCCACTTTCCACTAAAAACACCTTTCATAGAAAATGTTACACCAGCTACTTATATTCATGGCATACAAGCGAAGTACAGATGACGTTGCTTGGCCTTCAAAAAGTGTGAAGCTCCAGAAACAAAGTTGGATATTCCTCCTCCTGTATCTTAGTATACAGTTAAGATTGTGTAAGTGATTTAATTACCTGCAGCTGGAAGTACTTTACCTACTGCAATGAAACAATGCAATACAAAACTGATTTTGGCAATAATAGATTGTCACCTCTTGCAATATCTGGTCAAAAAATGTTTGAAATATTGGCCACATCAGTTGTAAATATGCAAAACTGTCAAAAGTGATTTTCTTTTAATTTAAAAAAATCATAAAATATTGTTAAATTGTTTATAAATTGTAAATATGAAAATGACCATTTTCAATACATGTGGCCTAATTTATACAGAAGACTTCATAACTTGTCAAAGATACTTGTTTGACTATTACAGGCCATACAGCCTTAATGAAAAAAAAAAAAAAAGTAACTTTTTTTTTCTTCTGTGCAGCTGTTCACAAATCTGGAATTCCCTTCTATCTAATAGGGGCCTAGATCGTGAACTCACAACAATGGAGCTAGGGGCCAGCCTTTCACTTTGTAAGCTAGATGACCAGACTTAAAACAGAGAGCTACAAAAACAATTACTTGAAAGGTTTTTCTTGGCGTTAGTCCAGATGTTTTGATTCTTCTGCTTCTCTTAGAGGCAGAGTGGATTAGCAACAACAGTACCACCTGCTTCCTATGACAGTATTTCAACAAAGGATGCGAGTTTGGTATGGCATCGGCTTAAAAGACCTTTGTCCGACATATGATTGAAAAGCAATGAATCAGAGGAAACCGTTCACAGACAGACAACCTACTTACCTAAAAACATAACACTGGAGAGAGGTGGAAACCACTAGATGTCCATATTTCAGAGTTGCCTTAATGACTCTGTCACGGAACTCCAACAAATCTACAGCATCATTTATTACATTGCGAACCTAGAAACACAGAAATTCTATGGAGTCACAATCTGACTGATCAATTTCACCATAATTTGTAATCACTATATATTTTTACAGTGGTGTGGAGACTTGATCAGCCTATGATTAGCTTAGCATACCTGAAATAAGAAAAGGGCATTTTGTACACAATAATTTATACTACCCGTCATGTCCTGTTGTCTTACTAATGTTAATCAGACTTAAAGCCCATTTCCACCTTTGCGGAGGTATTTAAAAAAAAACCTATGCCTGCAATGTACACCGAGTGGGCATGAAGCAGGCGTATGCAGTTGTTGTATATGAACACAGAAACTTGTGTTTTTGTTAGCTTTTCTCTTCATCGCTTTCTCAAAGAATTCATCCCCACACAGCTACCTCCTCATGTATCACTTGCCCCTCCCTTTTAGATTGTAAGCCCTCACGGGCAGGGCCCTCCTTACCAACTTGTCTTGAATTGTATTGTGATTGTAAGGTCTTCGTTATATTGTAAAGCGCTGCACAAACTGTTGGCGCTACATAAATTCTGTATAATAATAATCTCCTCATGGAAATGGCTGCCTCTGTGTTTTGCAAGCAATCTGTGTACATTACAACTAAGCTCCCCACCCCTCATTCATTAGTATTCCGTGTGTGTTGTAAAGTAGCCACTGATCCCAGCTAACATGGGAGCAAAAGAAAAGAAGACACGGTAAACACTAATCTAAATATTACATCACTTTTCTGCACTGGTAGTTCTTTAACATGATCCTCACCTTAAACCACAAGTCAACAACCTAAGGTATGGGTTCCAAAGTAGCCCCACAAAGAGACATTTAGTAGCTCTTCCAAAGAGACATTTAGGTTATACTGCCACCTACAGGAGGACTTGGACACTGGCAAACAAACAAAAAACACCAGGTACCGGCATGGCATAACCCCACCTACTCCTTGGCTGCCTCAGTTTTGTAACAAAGCAGTACCTAGAGTAAGATCAAAAACCCAAAGTGTTGGGACTTCCATGAACCCAAGAAATGGATTTACTGTGAGAACAAACAAAAAATAAATCACTCAGTAAAATGGCTGGAGGTGATCTGGTCTCTGTAGGCAGTAGCAAGGAAAAACCAAGATGGAACTCTTGCAGATAGGAGCAATGGCAGGAAAATGCTACCTCACACTAAAGACGGCAATAGAGCGTGGAGTGTACACTCGCAACACTCCAGCAAATAATGCAGCATTCAAATCATGGTGTTTCAACCCTTTCTGTGGAGACCAAAGAAAAAAAAATGGAAACGGCACCCAATGAATGCAATAATTATAGCACTTACCAAAGCTCGGCCCACATAGCCTACTTATAAAGGAGCTGCAGAGACCACACCAAAGGCTGTGCCATGGCTCTTGACCTGAAAAGTGCTCTGTGGCCAAAAAGGAAAGAGGTCTGGAAAGCACCACAAACAGTGCCCAGTTCCCGAAGGTCACATTCCAGGCCCGTCCCGCAATTGTCCAGTCCAGTGCGGCCTGGGTACAGGGTCCAAAGATATCGCTGAGCATACACTAATATGGAGAGCTGCATAGAGACTAGCTGATCATCATTCCAAGTTGCAAATCCTCCTATAGAAGGCAGCATAACAAAAATCTCTAAATCCTGTGTCCTTCAAGGAATGAAAAAAAAGGTGGTTCTTTGCATTAATCTCAGCATTTGAATCCATAAGTGGGTGTGAACAGATTTTTTTCACACCTGAGTGTTAAATCTCCCTCAAAGCCGACACACAACACATAATTTACAAGTGTGTCTGCAGTTGAAATTAACATCCTACAGGTTAGACATTGCACACCTAAGCCAAGAAAAATAAAGACAGGGATCACACTGAAACCAAGTCCCGTCTACTGTTCAGTACACGTTATCAGCAGCTGACCGCTATCGATCACTGTTTATGATGGGAGGTGGCGGTGGGATGGGCTCCCAATCACGTAACCACTGTGATAGCTTGCAACTCTCAGGGTTCAGAACCCATTAAAAAAAAGGTCAGTGGTAGCTGGCAACAAGGGGTTAAATGTTTAAAAGGTTGGCGACCTCTGCCATAAAACTTACTCTTAGCAAGACGCACTTTTTAAGTGCCTTCCCTTTGCTAAAAAAGCAACATATATTTTTGAAAAAAAAAATAAAACAGCCACAAGATCCCGGGGAATGGAGAACAGTGATGTAAAAGGGGGAAGAAATACTCCATGTTTTAGGACTAAACTCTCTAAACATAGAGGAGAAAACAAACCTGCATTGCACGTCTCTTGGTCAAAGTTACTTCAAAATTCTTCCACTCCCAGCGTTGTTCAATGATATGAGCAAAAATGACGTGGCCATTTCCGCAAGCTCCGGCAACCTGGGTTCCATCAACAGACCAAGCAATATTGAAGATGCTGCCAGTATTTGGTTTTTCCAAAGCATAGGACCACTGCAAAAGTAAAAAGATTTATTTTTATAATCAACCTCTGTAATATTGTATGTACTAATCTGGTATAATTTTACAATCTTAAAAGATGGCCATAAATGAGTCAAACTCACCTGTTGCAGCTATGATTTTCTTTCCTTTCACCATTCATACAGGGCGTTCTGGGATTCCTGTGGCAAGAACCTGTGGAATCCCAGGTGCTCTGCTTATATGTGGTTACTGTACCTATTCAGGTAAATGACAGGATGACAGTGGCTGCATCTTTAACCGGCACTCTGTATCTAAGTGTATATGGTACGATTACATGTGGTTTGGAATAGATGATTGTCGCTGGATGAATTTACTTATAGCGGCCACATCTGAATGGAAAACCTGGGATTCCTGCCGCAGAAATCTGTAGGTCCTTGCCACAGGAATCCTTGAATGCCCCATGTGAGCTTCTTCTCCCCTGGGCCCTGGCAGTCTAAGGACCCGTGACGTCATCACGTCTACTCACTTGCATTAGAGGAAGATGCCGAGGGACAGGCGGGAGCGGAGGGGGTGAGAGGCGAGTGGTCACTATTGCAGAATTGAGGATTGGGTGAGCATATTCTCTTTATTCCGTTCCCTCCAAAAGGAGCAGTTAACACTTGCAGTGCGAGGGTAGCCGTACTGCAAGGGTTAACGTTTGAAGATTCTAAAGATCTGCTTTAACAGTAAATACATTAACAGTGTAATCAACTAAAAGCTGGCAGTGTGTTAGCCATTGATGAAAATTCTGCTAAGAACTCTTAGTCATCACAGTAAGAAACTAATGGAAGATAATTCCATAGAACCAATCACAAAAGGCAATTGGTAATATACATTTTAGGGATCAGGCAGGAGACAGATCAGCCTGTAGGGAGTCCTCAGAATCATGCTGGACAGATGATGTCAGTGGCAGTAACACCCAGGTGAGGAAACTATGTCCCCTAAAAGGAGTCACACTCTGGGAGATCTGAGACAAGCAGCAACATCTCCCTAGTCTGGACAGCAAGGGAACCACCCTATATAGTAGGGTAAATGGTATGTTTGCAATCCTGGGGAGTGGTCAGCAGAAATAGGATCTCTTGTCTGACATGATCTATATAGTCTGGCATTGGGCTAACTTTTCTGTACTTACAAAGGAAATTTAATTTTTTTCAAAAAGTTGAATAACAGCATTCACACCAATCTAAATGTGGCGACATACACATTTCTGACTGATATGCCTTAATGTATAAGTGAACCTTAGGTGCAGTTACACTTATATGAAACCCCCACCCCTCATCTTATACTCACCTACTCCTAAATCCAGTGAGATATTGCTGCCTATATTGCTTGGGCCACTTGTGAAAAATCTTCCCGGCCAGGTGCTTAAGAAGAACAGAAGAATTCTGATCACAAGCAGGGCACATCCCCAGGCCTGGCTGGGAAAGTTTGGGAAATTTACAAGATTACCAAGTCTGTTCATCCATTCTAGTGATCCAGTCATCTGTACATGACCGCATAGCCCGATTGGTGACCTTGTTCTTCTCTGCAATGAAGGTATACGTGAAGCCAAAACTTTTAATGTTAATATTAGACAGCGTGGAGAAAGGTAGGAAGTAGAACCCTTGTAGGTCACCAGGACAAATTCAGAGGGTAAATCTCCCCAATTGGGACACAAACCACAGTAAAAACTTGGTAGATAGTCTAACCCTTTCTCACGCTATCCAATCCACAAAAAAACTCTCTCTTTACCTACACTTTAAGCAATTCAGCCTGGTCACTAACCTGCCCCATCTTACTTACTGGGTAATAATGAAATATAAAACACACTGAACAGCACTCTCTTCTATCCTTGTGCCAGCAAGTACCCAGTGTTATATTGGCAAGATTGTGCAATGCAATTTTGATGATGCTGTTCCTCCCTCTACGGCCCATTTCACACCTGCGCGTTCCGTGAACACAAGGCAAAGAGCGCAGAAACACCAAAAATCTTGCCTTATACCTAAAATTGTTCTATGAGTTGTATTATAGTTAAAAAAGTACAGCCCTCAGTTATTTTGTATTACTGTGATTCATGCAAATTCTACTCTTGCTCCATTAAATGGATTGCATATTCTTATATATTTTCTTATTATGTTCAGAGCTAAAAACAGGTCTAAAAATAAATTGTCATCTTTACCAGGTTAATATGAAATATTTCATATGTACCCATCTCCACCTAGCAGGGGGAGCTCTAGAATTATTTTCATATACTTACCAGGCTAGTCCTAAAGCCTAATTAAAACTTCGGTACAAATAAAAAAAAAATGATATAAGGACGTAAAAGAGTGAAGTCCCAGACTTCTGTGCAAACTGCTCCCCACTGCCTCAGTGCAAAATTCCTTTCCTTGCTTTAGGCTGCAGACAGGACCAGGGCACTCCCCATGAGAGCAACAGTGCTTTCTGAAGCAGTCCAACACCCCTTGTAAGTCAAACCTACAGCTGTCCAATCAGCAAAGCGTGCTAAGGAGAGCTTCAATTAGGCATGAACTGCTTTAAAAAAAAAAAAAGTTTACAGAGCCCAATCTCAAATTACACACACAGCTATATAAGCCAGAAGAGTGACTCATCTCCCGTCCCTCTTATTGCTTACTTTGTTAATATGGGACCACATCGAAATTAAGTTAGAGTTTGAAAGCACATGACTACTGCTATAGAAGTTCTTCAGAAACCCTATAATGCTCTTTGACACCAGTGCACCCTGCTTTATTTTGTATTTTAAGGCAATTTTTTTTCTTTTTTTGGATGGAGTAGGGCAGGGTCCTATATCCCTTTGGGGAAAATTCCCTTTCCTGTCCCAGACACCCAACAGGATGTGAAAATAAATTTGCCCTTTCAGACAGTTGTCAATAGATTGTCCACTTCAGAAAATCTATCCTTGCCTCTAGATCTGGACGACTCAAAAGTTTGTATTTCTCATCACTTTCTATCTTGGTGAGATGGTAAATTTCTGCAGCAGGGGCACAGACAGCAATAAAAATTTGGCAGAGCTTTGCTTTTAAGGGCCTATTCACACTATAGTGTTGCATTAAAGACACAGGATCGGTGTGTTTTGCACCTGCTATGTGCTGCTGCAATGCAGTTTGCACAGGAACCTGAGACTTCACTATTAACTGCGTCCTTATATCATTTTGCACTGCGTTGTCACCTTGTGGAAAAAAATAGGGAATGCAGTATTTTTTTCCCCAACACACATTGCTGGAGGGTATGTGTGTGTGCCATTGAGAATCTAAGGCAGCACAACGCACCAACACACCTAGTTGTGCGGTGGCATGCTTAGTGCGATAGCACGTTCTAAACATTTAGTGCAACGCTATAGTGTGAATAGACCTAAGAGGTATTGCTTCTCCGTGTTTGTTAAAGGTTACATTCACTGCCTTAATAATTTACTACTTAAAGGTTTATTTGCAAAATAAGGATTTTATACAAACTGTAAAAAAGAAAATGAAAAAAAAATTGTTTAACCGCTTTAATTGTAATGAAAACGGCCGTCCAGGAGCTTCTTGAATATAACAGGGAGTTTAAAAGGCAGCCTGTTAGCTCCGCCCACTTGTGCACGCCGCGCAAGAGTGGGAAACTGTCAAAACTTTAAACAGGCAACACCCTTGATGTCACCATTTATGGTGACCCCTGATGTCACCATAAAGAGAACCTGTCATATCCTCTTTGCTATCACATAGGGGGCTTCTTATCCCCTTATGTGATAACAATAACGTTAAGTGAAAAAAAAATTCAAACTTGCAAAAAAAGTCACACAAAAAAAATTAAAAAGAAAAAACCAATACACGCGCGCAAACATGCGTCGGGTGTGTATACGTGCGAAAACGACGCCTGCACCCATTACGCCACACGTTAGATATAACTGCGAACGTCAGAGTGTGAACAATAATTCTAGAGTCATTATTCACTGATAATACTAAACTGATAGAGTGGTAAAAGCTTTTAAAGCATCGCCTATGGTCAATCTTGGGTATGGTTTTGCGGTTTCGTGGGTGCGCGCAATTTTAAGGCTTGACGTGTTTGGTGCCTATTTACCGACGTGACCCTGTCTTTTATTTTTTACTAAAAAAACTCGGTAATAATAAATGCATTAAACATAATGTAAAAAAAAAAAAAAAAACTACTTTTTTCTTTCTACATTTTCTGTAATTTTTCCTTAATATAGTAAAAAATAAAAAACTCAGTTGTGATTAATTACCACATAAACAAAAGCTCTAACTGTCCCCAAAAAAATTGTATAAAATATATTTCAGTACAGCGTTGCATGACGGAATAAATGTCAAAGTACTGCAGTGATGAATACTGAAAAATGGCCTAGACAGGAAGGGGCTGTAAACACCTGGTCAGCAAGTGGTTAAAAGTTAAATAATAAAATAAAATTGCCCAAAAAGTAATACAGTTTATCTGTGTACAATGCAACTGTTGTTCTGCTCAGTTTTCTATTATCATGCCATTCAAACAGCACACACAGAGCCCCTTTTATTTTCACTCATTTTATCAATAAGATATGATAATGGTTGTTCATGTTTCAATCATTAGCTAATCCTACGCAATATCATGCAATCCACCAAGAAACACAAAGTTAGACAGAATAGTCATAATTAGACACACAAAAATATTACAACTCTGATCAAGGTTCTTGCAGTGGGACCACAATTGATAATGTTTTTTTCACGTTATAAAGCACTGAGAATGCTACAAATTGTATCCAAAATTATAAAATCACATTGTGATATCATATCTTAATGCTAGGGGGACCTTGACTTGGCAAAGGAGCTCTGCAACAATCGGTATAGATTAGTGTTGATTCCTTATGCTTAACTCTATTATTCACCACCAAGACCCAACCCATCGGCATGCAAAGGCTTAGTTTTTGTCACAGTGGGTAAAATATAAAAGTAGTGTATAAGAGCATTTACAATGAGAAAGAAAGTACGTGAGGAAGAACCTTTAATGTAGTGCAGTTTGCTCAAGAC